CTGTGTCTACCCGTTGTGTCCATCCACTGTGTCTACCTGTTGTGTCCATCCACTGTGTCTACCCGTTGTGTCCACCCATTGTGTCCACCCATTGTGTCCACCCGCTGTGTCCACCCGTTGTGTCCACCCGTTGTGTCCACCCGCTGTGTCCACCCGCTGTGTCTACCCGTTGTGTTCACCCATTGTGTCCATCCGCTGTGTCTACCCGTTGTGTCCACCTGTTGTGTCCACCTGCTGTCCACCCATTGTGTCCACCTGTTGTGTCCACCCGCTGTGTCGACCCGTTGTGTCCACCCGTTGTGTCCATCCGTTGTGTCCACCTGCTATGTCCACCCGTTGTGTCTACTTGCTGTCCACCCGTTGTGTCTACCCGTTGTGTCTATCTGTTGTGTCCACCTGCTGTCCACCTGTTGTGTCTACCCAATGTGTCCACCCGTTGTGTCCATCCACTGTGTCCACCCATTGTGTCTACCCGTTGTGTCCACCCGCTGTCCACCCATTGTGTCCAACCGTTGTATCCATCTGTTGTGTCCACCTGCTGTCCACCCATTGTGTCTACCTGTTGTGTCCACCCGTTATGTCTACCCGTTGTGTACACCTGTTGTGTCCACCCGCTGTGTCTACCCGTTGTGTCCACCTGCTATGTCCACCCGTTGTGTCTACCCATTGTGTCTATCTGTTGTGACCACCTGCTGTCCACCTGTTGTGTCTACCCAATGTGCCCACCCGTTGTGTCCATCCACTGTGTCCACCCATTGTGTCTACCCGATGTGTCCATCCACTGTGTCCACCCGATGTCCACCCGTTGTGTCCACCCGTTGTGTCCACCCGTTGTGTCCACTTGCTGTCCAGTCATTGTGTCTACCCATTGTGTCTACCTGTTGTGTCCACCTGCTATCCACCTGTTGTGTCCACCCGTTGTGTCCACCTGCTGTCCACCCGTTGTGTCTACCCATCGTGTCTACCCGTTGTGTCCATCCACTGTGTCCACCCGCTGTGTCCACCCATTGTGTCTACCTGTTGTGTCCACCTGTTGTGTCCACCCACTGTGTCCACCCGTTGTGTCCACCTGTTATGTCCATCCGATGTGTCTACCCGCTGTGTCCACCTACCTGTGGATCTGGGTTTGTCGGTGTCTGACGCCAGTCTGTAGTTGCGTCGGGTCAGAGCGGTGCCGCCTCCCTTCGAGCTCATTCTGTCAGAGTGGGTGACCCGAACACTGCAGGCAGAACAGAACCAGGAGTTCTTACTAACTGTATACTTGTACAGCAAGAACATGGTGCTTTCTGTGTACTTATATGGCAAGAAGAATTATTTAAATGGTCTGCACTTATGTTAGCATTTACTCAAAGCGCTTTACAACGTTTTCTTATTCACACACATTCATACACCAACGGCGACAGCGCTGCCATCAGGAGCAACTTCTGGTTCAGGGTCCTGCCAAAGGACACTGTGACTGTGGAGGGGATCGGACCGTCAGCCTTATGATCAGACGACAACCACTCTACCAGCTGAGCCACGGGCCCTGGTTTAATACAGGATGACGCTGGTACTGCCTGTGTACTTGTACTACAGCTGTGTACTTGTACTACACCTGTGTACTTATGCTACACCTGTGTACTTGTACTACACCTGTGTACTTGTACTACACCTGTGTACTTATACTACTGCTGTGTACTCATACTACACCTCTGTACGTATACTACAGCTGTGTACTTGTACTACAGCTGTGAACTTGTACTACTGTTGTGTACTTTTACTACAGCTGTGTACTTTTACTACAGCTGTGTACTTTTACTACAGCTGTGTACTTGTATTACAGGTGTGTACTTGTATTACAGGTGTGTACTTATAC